AATAGAATAACACTGCTCAAAGACAAACTCATTTCTCTACATTGTGTAATAAATATCCAAATATGAATGAATAGGATGGAAATTAATTAAAAAATCATTTTTAGAAACTGGATTATTGGCTACAAAAACACTTGTTTTAATTGATAAACTAGTATTATTATAAAAAGAGAAGAATCAAACAGAACCATTATATAAATTGATATGTTGTGTTGTGTATGATAAGGTACGATGGGGTCGGCGTATTATTGTGGATAAAATCCCTCATTAAAAAAAAAGATAAAATATAAATAGACATATATGTATTTTTATATAAATTGATTTGTTGCAAGGATCTAAAGCGCTTGTCTTTATAGTGATTCATTCAACCCCGATAAATCCTTCGTCTGAAGTTGTCTACGCTCAACGCGTACTGTTACTTTTTGCACTGCTTGTGTTACTGTATTAGTTGAAATCTTCACCAATCGCAAGGCGAAACGCGTTCGGCGTTGCGATTGGCCAGCGCTGAAATCTTCACCAATCGCAAGGCCAAACGTCTTTTGGCGTTGCGATTGGCCCGCACTGAAATCATCACCAATCGCAAGGCCAAACGCGCTCTTCGACGAGAGCGAGTTGAAATGAAATAAACTCACACTAGGACCTCTGATCTCTTCATCAATCACAATGCCGAACGATATTTATAAACAGTTTATTTATAGAGGCTACGGGGGGCTGCAAGCCTCCCAGCAGTTCTCGGCAAACATCGAGACTAGCCAGTCGACCCAGGCTGCCTCCTCGTCCAGACGAACCTGAACCACTATGCCGGTGCCGGTATTCCTGCAAACCATTTCACAGTGGTCGATCATTTTGGCCGTAGCTGCGGAGCCCTATTACGTTCCTCCCCGTCCAAACTGGTTGGGTGACCTGGACGGTTCCGTGGCAGCCGTTGGCTCCACGGCGGCTCATTCCCCGCCCTTGTCGTTAAGAGACAAGGGCACTGGATATGTTGCTGACGAGTGGGGGGATCACCATATATGGTGTATACTTCTCCCCCAACCGGAGTTTGAGCGACTTCGAGATTTTCCTAAACAGCTTGGAGACCTCGATGCGACGACTAGCGTCCGGGCTCGTCTTTGTGTTGGGGGACATCAACGCAAAGTCCATTGCTTGAAGTTCCCCCAGGACGAACGCAAGGGGCGAGGCCGTAGAGGAGTGGGCGGCCTCGGTGGGCCTCTGTCTTCTGAACAGAGGCTCCACCAACACGTGCGTGCGACAGCAGGGGGGTCGATAGTGGACCTGTCGTTCGCTACCCCTGCCCTCGCCACACGAGTAAGGAACTGGCGTGTCCTGGAAGAGGTTAAGATGCTCTCGGATCACCTGTATATCCGATTTGAGCTCTCCAGGACCCAAGGCCCCAGTAGGGCTCCGTTTTCCGCGGTGGGCTGTTGCCAAACTGAACAGGGACCAAAAGTTTCGATTTTAGATACAATTTAAAAATGAGTGATAGCTTTTATTGGGCTAACAATTATTTTTTCTGTTATTGCCGTACTTAATAGGTAACCCATAAAAATATTTTCTATTTGTATTTTCCTCTCACTTTATTGTTTTTTTTATTGTTGTTTATTTTATTGTTTTTTGCATGGTAGGTATATATTTGGGCCCTACACCATTAAAAAATGGACTTAATTAAGCCGTTACATGAAACATGATGACGCGTTACATATGTATAACATAGGAAAGATTGCGATGGGATTTCTTCGAACCAAACTACATAGACCTTGTACTATGGGTTCTCTAGAACACTTACATTAATACAAATCGAAATTATATTTATTTTTCTAGATATACATATATTTACATTGAGTTAGATGAAAACTTTGACGTGACGTGACGTGACGTAACCCACATAAGCAAACCTACTAACTACGTGAACTGCTGTTGATGGACGTATAACCTTTAAGGTATTATTATTATTTATTGAATATCGCTTATGTTTTGTTTCTTTCTTTCAACGTAATGCTAACTTACTATTAAATAGATTAATACGTTATGATACTAGTAAACCTTCTAATTAAAGAAAAAAATGTTGAAAAACAAAACTATGCCCAAGCCGAAGACGTGTGGTAGGAACTACCTATTTATGGGATAAAACATACGACATCGGACATAATTAAAATTTAAAGGTACTATATTCGCATAGTACCTATAAGGGGTGTTAGTTATTTAGTTTATTATTAATCAAAAAGAATATTCTGACTACATAATCTGAGCGTTGTATTCGTTGGTTCCACATTTATAGCGATCGTGTATTGATGTAACTTTTGTGAAATTAGTGAATTGGAGCATAATGTCCGCCTGATATAAAGCTATTACGAGCCTTTGCAACTCCTTCTTAAACTATTTATTTTTCCTCTCTAATTCGGTTGTAGTTTTTCTGCTTGTTATCTCAGAACACCATAATTTATGAACCGATTTGGAACATTATTTTTTATTTTGATGAGTATATTTACCGTTTGGTCCATTTCAAATTTAAAGAAAAAAACCCCACCTAAGCGGTTCGGTGCGGCGAACCACCCCCTCCTTTCTAGCAGCGTACACTAAGACAAGAACACAAACTCTAAGATACAATATTGGAGTAATGAAAACAGACAGGACAAAGGCGATAAGGTAAAGGAAACGGTACTGATGCTGCAGTAGCTCAAAAAGGCCGGGTTGACGAACCCGTATGTACTTTATTTGATTGGCAAGCCACTACGACAGATACATCCATTGGTAGGGCCCGCAGATCTTCATGCCCAAATCCCTTTGATTTCAGGCGCAGAGTGGCACACCGTGTGGTTTTAGTCGATACGATTACGACACACCGCCCTATGTCAAAGCACGGTGGGGTGACGGCATGAAGGGGTTTACACGTAAAAAAAGGTACATCAATTTGCCATTGCCATTAAATTGCTATCCGTGTATTCGCTAGTATCCATGTGGTGACGGATTAAGAATACAGAGTGTCACGCCCCTAATTATCCCGTGGGTGTCGTAACAGCCGACTAAGGGAGTAAACTACGCAGGAGAACAGCACTGCAAAGGAAACCTTGAAACACACCCTATACCAACCCGTCTGGCAAACGTAGTATATAGTAGGCCAAAACCTCCTTCCTAAGGAGCAATTTATGTCCAGCAGTGGACTAGTAAAGACTGTTGATGATGATTAAATAGCTATAGTACTTTTTAAAGCGCAGCAGGTATAGGAATAGTAAGTATATAAAGCATTCTCATGCCTACGTATTAGGCACAATAGAGTGGTATCACATCCTCACAGAAAGTCTGTGTTAAGCAGGTCTTTCGTTGCTTTGACCGAGTGAGGTCACCGGAGTACAAACAACCCTTTTTCCTGTTTCTGTGGGGGGGGGGGGGGGGGAGCAATCCACTTGAGATTTGTGAGTTGATATATGGAAAAGTAGTTACTTACCATCAGGTGACCCGCCTACTTGTTTGCCTACATATACCATAAAAGAAGCAATTCACACACGGCAGAAGTGAAAATATTTTCTATACAAATAAATAAAATTAAAGTGTCTGTTTGTAATGTCAAAATAATAGGTAACCAAACCAGTATACATTTTTTGTCTGTCTGTTTGTTAATATTTTACTACCAGGTAGTCTATATAATGAGTAACTTAGGCTTTTTTTTCTTGTTTTTATCTCAGAAAAACCCTATAAAATTTTGTCCAGCCTGGCAATCTACTCCCTAAGACACCGTTTCGAACAAAGTCGCGAGTACCAGCTATTATAAAATAAAAAGATAAAAATATTCACACTGTCAAAATATTCTATTAAAAATAATGCGTAATGTATTCTATCTCATTCTCTCGCCGACTTAATCCTATACATGTATGTGTGTGTTTCTTTATCGTTACGCATTTTCGTTTCATCGAGTTTCAAATCACAACGATTCTAAAAAAGTTTCATTTCAAAAAAACAGATACCACCCGTATAGACCAACTCGTACCAGTAATATAACACCGGGCCGTTTAACGAAAGAGCGCTACGATAAATGTGTAGCTTTATGTTTATTGTTCCAATTACCTAAAAATGAATGGGTCATTAAATGAAATTGCGAGTCAATGATTGTAATGTAGTAGCAATTACTTTAAATAGGTAATAAATATTCAACGAGCTCATATAAATGCGTTACCATTTACAAATAGTTCATTCAAGGTATTCAGAGAAAGTCGTAATTCAGTCCAATTTTCTACATACATAGACAGACCGGACCGGAGACATAGACATCTAAACTTATAGAAATATGCGACTGGAGGTTAGAGTAAGACATACCTATGTGTTTTAAAGTAGATACAATTTTAGTAGATTATGTAAATAAGGTAAAACGCTTTCACGTTCAGAAGCATAATATTTAACATTGAAATATTTTGATACGAATTTATGGATAAAATAGTAATGATTAAGTAATTTGCCGGTTCGTGTGGTGACATATTAAGAATATGGAGTGTCACCGCCCCTATTCATCCTGTGGGTATCGTAAGAGCTGACTAAGGCAGCAAACTACTCAGTTCACCAGCACTGCAAATAGAAGGAACCTTTAATACTCAACTGCTGAACATAGACCTCTCCTTAGAAAGGAGGTTTTGGCCTATTATACTACCCTGGCTAGAAGGGCTGGTACAGGGTTTGTTCAAGTTTGCCTTCTCTTTCTTCAAAGTTGTTGTTGTCCTGCGCAGTTTGCTCCGTTAGTCGGCTCTTACGACACACACGGGATAAATTGTTCCGGGGGTAACCCTCCATATTTATAATCCGTCGCCACACGGACAATTGAATAAATGGCAGCGTAAAACATAAATGATTTTTTTATTTCGATTTGATGAAATTATGTCTTTTATAATAAATTCTCAATAGTATCCTTTGTCAATGCACACTAACTTCTGTCCGTTCCCTTCTGCAAGCCACGAAGATGTAAATCCTTTATATTATTATAGGTATATTTATTTGGGTCTATTTTATTATAGGTATTAATAAGTTTTAAAGGTACATACCCTTATATATCTCTCCAAATCTGCTGGTATGAAGTCATCGAATTCTTTCTGATTTTCTTTAGGATTATTTTCTTTCTTGTTTTTTGTAAAATCATTGTGCTCCCGTAATACTTTGTTGTTGGAAAAATTTACTTGCTTCCTGAGTTTATTATGATCATTTTCATTTTCTTTATTATCTTCACAATGCTAAAACAAACAAAGGGAATTTAAAGGCTATTCACACATATACTTTTTACAATAAGTTGGATATTATCATACAACACTAGAATTTGCACGCGGCTCCGCCAGAATCTACAAATGTCGGTTATGGTAAAAAGTAGCCTATGACCTTCCTCAAGAATCAAAGTATCATCATGTCAAATGTCAATTAAATTAGTTCAGTGGTTTAGCCGGTAAAGCGTAATAGACAGAGAGACAGTTACTTTTGCATTTATAATACTAGTAGGATGATGTGGTTCCCTCTTTTTCTCTCCCTAAGAGACCTTAGGGAGAGAAAAAGAGGGAACCAGTGAAACGAATTTTATTGTTTTAGTCTTTTTTATGTTAATTACAAACACACATTATACAGACGATTATCTAAATGTAGATTTAGAATAATTGAATTTAGGAGGAAAATAATTTTTTTACACACATTCAGAACCATCTTATACCTTCATTATCAAAAGTATTTAATAGTCCACTGCTGGACATAGGCCTCTCCTTAGAAATTAGATTTTGGCTGACTATACGGGTTTGTTTCAAGTTTTCCTTCTCTTTGCAGTGTTGTTGTCCTGCTTAGTTTGCTCCCTTGGTCGACTCTTACGACACCTATATACATAAACTATTTAAATCTGAAACTGAACTTAACTGGTCAGAATTCAGTGAAGTAAAACTATAATATATTCCTATATGTGCTTCAACAAAATTTACTAACATGAATTTATGAAACAATAGTGAGGAGTATAGCAATCAATTATGTTCTGTCTGACCTCAATGACTAAATATATTCAAACTCCAGTACTATTCTGCTGTTCTAGTAGGTTGAGCAATATAAACTATAGTGCAATGAACTGTTGATGTCTAATCAATAGTTGTTGGCATTTACTGTCTGTTTGAAAAATAAATAACGGTGCAACGACATTTAAGGTAGTACGGAAATACAATTCGTTTTTCTTTTTTAGCTGAAGTGCTGATATTTTTTATAATATATACTGTCTGATATCATTCTATTTGGGGACAAAAAAATATTAATGAATAATGTTACAAGATAATTTTATGGTTTAATAATTGAAATTTTTTGCTTTAGCATTTATTTACCCATAAGCTCTAAGAAGAAAAAGGACCAATCTTTTTAACACGGTTTTATTATTTTTGTATGTATATATGTAACGGAATCTTCGAACGTGATTTTAACCCACTTAAAAATGTCGAATTAAATTGTAACTTCGCACGCTTATCAAGGACCGATGACAATATAATAACTTGATAAATTTGGCAGATTTTTCTGATCAGGTTCTTCAGGATTAAGAGCTTTTTCCATACCTAAAAATACGGTAGTGTCTTTTGCTACGTACTAAGAGGCGTGTGCTGAAGCATATTTGACTTACTTACTTGTTACTTTCTTAGTCTTAATAAGAAAAAAAACATCATTAATGAATAAAAAGCAAAAATAAATTATAGTTCAAAAAAAATAAACACGATTTTGTAACTATACGAAATACAGATTATTTTATAAATCATTTTCCATTAGTTCTTAAAGAAAAATCATTTTATCAGAAAAAGCCTGGGGTGCTTTTCAATATATTTCATAACAGACTTTATTTTAATCAATATCTGATATTGATAAAAATAAAAGTAATAATTGAGATCTTGGTATATTTCTTTTTATGTAGGTGCACAGATATAGTTGACAATAGTAATCATGTTAATTTTCTTGTTATACAAAATGCCTTGCTCATGCATCGGCTTCACGCAGTTGCACAACATCCCAAGTAGATAAATGTTAATTTGAATTTCGGGCCCTATACTGTACATTGTAAATCTTACGTCACGCGTTTGATGTACGTTGCGGGATTCTCCGCATCTCGCATCGTCATTTTGATAGGCTTTCAGGGTACACTGTCGTTGGCTTATGCTTTTATGGTCAAGCAGCAGTATGTACTGCATTGATTTTTTTGTTATAAGTATCATCATGACAACTAATTCTACAAATACAAGTGCCTTACAATGATCTATCTGCCTGGGGCCTCGCAATGGCAAAAATCCACCATTGTTGTTTAGAAAAAAATAATAGATTTTACTAATATGAACATTACATCACAATACAAGCTTTCTTGTTAAATCAATAATATACATGAGTTAGTTCACATCAAATACCTTAAAACGAGTAATTTTTGTATATATATAATCTGAATCTCAGAAACGACTCCAACAATTTTCATGAAATTTAGTATGCAGGGAGTTTCAGGGGCGATTAATCGATCTAGCTAGGTTTTATTGTTAGAAAATTTAGCATAAAAAAATAATTGGTCATCCAGGTACTGTATGTAAAGTGGGGTACAAACCTACAACTACCTACCCGAAGTCCTAAATACTTTAGCTATCATATAACTGATGCTTCATAATAATAAAAATACACCATCAATTTAAATATGTTAATTAATTACATTATTTCATCTTTAACATATACAATTACATTTATTTAAACTAAACTAAAACAAATCTAAACTAAACTATTTAAACTAAATTAGTTGATGAAGTAAAAACAGACACTTGATTAGGTGTACGACTACTAATATAAGATTATTTTACCACATTATTAAAACCTCTTTTCTAAGGAGAGGCCTATGTTCAGCAGTGGACTATTAAAGGCTGTTGTTGATGATGATGATGATTAATACCACAAAGAAATGATAACATGTATATAATTATAAGAGTATGAGGCATGGGTCATTGGTGCAGAACATCAGAACACCAGAATCTGTATGGTATTTAAGGACAGAAGCCAGTTTAAACTGTTTCTGCCTATGGGGATAAAATAGTATAAGTTCCTTATTATTTTAGAAGCAAAAGTAATAAGGCATTCTCACTAACTACAATATACAAGTATATTTTACATTAAACAATAAATTTCAGTATTTAACAATGGACTAAAAAAGAAATCGGTTTAAACATCTGAAGAATAACAACAAAAATATGTAACAACAGAAAACTACAAAAAGTTACAAAGCGCAATTACTTCACAAGTGTAATCAAAAAAGTTTTTATGAGTGTAAAGTAAATGAACCAACCTTTTTCGTCGTGAATAAAAGAACTGTAACTCTTGTTTTAAATTAACTAAATAAAAACACTCAAAGAAAAATACAGATATGAAGAACACGTGTGAACAAGAAACTATATAACTTTTTTTTGAGAAAACAAGTATCGCTGCAGAGAGTACAGAATCAATACAACGTCGCAACACAACTGATGGAGTTGAGAGCCAAAAAATCAATATCGACACTCACATGCAACAGGTATCGTCTAGTAAACAATGTGACGCAAACTTACTGTGTAGTCTCTCGGCGGTGGTGAAAGACCCAAATACGTTTTCTCCAACTCTATCTCACGCCTTTTCACTGTAATTAGCCTTTCAATATCAGATAAAGATAGCATTGTACGTTTGTGTATGCTCTGGCGAAAGTTACACCTTCCGCGGGCTTTATCTACCGGTATTTTACTCTAATGAAATGTGCAACTATTGTATGCCCGAGCATAATTTAAAATTACACAGCAGTATCTTAGTGTTACTTTCACATTAATTGATTAACTTTGATTTAAATATAAAACGTTTACGAAGGAAATTTAAATTTGACACTATTTGTTTTTGACATGAGTTTTAGTGTTGCTACTAGATCTCAAACATTTGAAAAAATAAAAATAACAGTTTGTTTATTTTTACTTCTGAAGTCCTGGTATATTTATATTTAAAATATAAATTTTAAAAACTTAATTTAAGAGTTCTTTAAATATCTGTCAACTAGTAGCCTATCAAAACATTGATAATGTTACCTGTTATCAGTCAAACACACTGATACGTCAAATTGTCAACTTATAACCTCAACTAAATAACTCAGTGCCTGTGCTCAGTACGTATACAAAGCGGATGTTAAGTGTTCGAGTCATATTTCTAAATAAAAAAATTATTAAATCTATAAAAGTTAATATCTGAGAAATTTATGTATATCTATGTGGTATAAAAATTGTTGAAAGAAATAGAAAACTCTATTTCTTTTGTGTTGCGCTAAACTTAAAGAGTAATAATTATTATGGATCCGAGTTACGAGAAGAAAGTTGCTGAATTAAAGAAAAAGATACAAAGTTTTCCTGATTTCCCCAAGCCAGGAATTTTATTTTGGTAAATTAACACAATTCTCTATTTATAATATAATAAAATCGTTTAAGATGTGTTAACTAGTACCATCTGTTGCCGAATAGCGACATTACTTTTAAGATAAAGTTAGGGTTTTGAAATAAAATCAAGACCAGATTTCCCTATTATTAGTAGTTTCATGTTTTAAAATAAATTATTAGTTTTTTTTTGCCGATGGTGCTATGATTTGAAATATTTTTATTCGCCTAACCTATAAATATGAAATTACTTGGCCTGACTGACTGATTTATCAACGCAGAGTCTAAACCGCCTGGGCTACAAACTTGAAGTTTTGCCAGCTGAATCCTTTTATATTGTAAGAAGAAAGAAATATTTTTTAGAAATTTTACCCGTAAGGGGGTAATATAAGGGATGAACGATTGCATGGAAGTTCCTTATTTTCAAAGTTAGAAACACGAAATAAGGAATAATAGACTTGCGAAGCGGTGAGCAATAGCTAGAATTATTATAATCGAAGTATATCTTGACCTATATTAAAAGTTAAATCAATAATAATAATAACTTATCACATCTCAAACACGGCAGTCTGATCCCAAACTAGGCAGAGCGAGAGCCTGTAGTACTACGGTAATCAGCCTGCTGATAAACATATTATATGCATACATATGAATACATACATGTTATAGAAAAAATACACCCAGACAAAAAATAAATGATTGTGCTCATTACACATTATTTGCTCTGGGTGGGAATCGAACCCACGATAGGTAAACGATTCCATACATTTGAACAGTTTGCAATCAGATTTTACGTCCATACATACACAACTAAAACGCCGATTTTCATTTGATTTTATTTATTGTGCTGGACGGAAGGTTGTAAGAAAGGTTTCCATATAAACGCCTGAAACCTTAAACGCCTTATAAAAGTTTTTCTTTTTGATAAAATGCCAATAAAACGTGTTAGTAACACATCAAATGACGATATTAGCGAGCTGCTCATTTTATAATTGCAATTGTCAGCACGAACCAACTCTATTTGACTTCAATTAGGCGATATCGACAACGCAATGACCTTGAATTAGTAACTTGACTCCAAGGAAGTGGGTTGATTGAAAATAGACCACGGCTTCGCTCGCGTAAATGTCAATTTTGTCAATAAATTTGGCAGGGATAAATAGTAGCCTTTGTATTTTGGAGTATCGAGTCGAGAAGTTAAAAAAAATAGTTCCCCATACAAACTTGCACCCCGTTTTTTATTAATTTTAATAAACTGTATTTACTGTAAGTATGAAAACTTAGTGTAGGACGCCCACAGGCCAGGGCCTCAATTCTGCTATTTTATGTTCACGCCAAGCCACTGTCGTACCACTGACACGAATAATTACACAAATAATTTCCTCAAAAAACGTAATATATTTTTAAATTGGAAGGAAATGATTTATTAATTTTTCCAAATATGGCAATCTTTTTGATATCACCACTGACGAGCCACTGCCATTCCATCGCCACTGTAAAGACACTGAGTTAGTGTAGACTACCGATATTTATACCGATGCCAATGGCATCTCAATAGCGTGTCAGTGGTATGACAGTGGCTTGGCGTGAACATAAAATATCAGAATTTAGGCCCTGGTGGAGTGACGATTTGCGCAAGATGGCTTTCAGGAACTGGATGCGAGAAGCCCAAATCGATCTAAGTAGCGTGCAATGGGAGAGGCCTATGTCCAGCAGTGGACTGCGGTAGTCTGATGATGATGATGATGATGATGATGATGATGATGATGAAAACGCTACTACCAAAAATAACGAAGTTTTATAAAAAAATATTATGTATTATTATTCATTTTGCATCCTTGGGGGTGAACTTTTTAAAAAGCCTTTCTTAGCACACACCTACGTCACCTAAAGAATATTTGTGCAAAATTTCATGCTTCCAGACCCAGCGATTTCAGATGAGCGTTGATCGATCAGTCAGTGAACCAGTCTGTCAATTTCTTCTTTTAAAGATAGTCCAAGACTGATCGCATCTATACAATATTATAGAGTTTGTTTGATTGGCGTGCTAATCTCAAGAATTACTTACTGGTTCGAATAGAAAAAAAAAATTGTGTGTCGGATAACCCATTTATCGAGGAAGGCTATGGGCTGTATAACATCATGCTACGACCAATAGGAGCTGAGCATTAATTAAAAAAATAGCAAACCTCGGGCAGTTTATTTATTTTGAGAGCATTCCGTTAAAGTAACGCAACAATCATTTATTATATGACGTCAGTTTCTCTTAAAAATCATATTATGTCTATCTATTAAATTATCTATTAAATATTAAATTATTATTGAAATCTCTCTTTAGAGAGATTTAATTAACGTTTCAATATGACTCAGATTAAGTCGCACAGATCAGCTAGTAATAAATCATTTGAAAACTGTCGAGTACTAGATTTTCGTCATGATTTTAATGCAATAAGTGATTGTAACTTTTTTAATACGATATTAAGTCGAAATCAGGATGTCCACTAACCTTTTCTTGAAAGTAAAGACTTTCAAGAAAAGGATACAAGATCATCTCCAAAATTAGTTGGCAGAAAGGTCACAATGCTAGAATCCTACTATGTATTTTGATATTTATGTATGGGTAATGTGTATGTTTATGTATTGTACGTGTAGACTTAGGACCTCTATGTATATATGTAGTACTGTATATATTAGTTTATGTATATTATATCTAAGTTACAGTTACATTAAATTAATAATCAATCAAATTTCTTGTTCTCTCTTGCACCAACCGCATCATTTTTCTACATCACCCGAAGGTCGACTGGCAGAGAATGCCTTGGGCATTAAGTCCGCCTGTGTACAACTTGTACACGGGATGTATATACAAACCCTGAAGTTGTAAACTAATCAACTGTTATCTGTTTTCGACTTTTAACCTTTTTAAGGTCTCACGAGGTCCGATGAGCAGAACTAAACATGTACGTAATGTAGTAAAATTATTAAATCACTGAAGCAGGATATAGCTCTTTTATATTAGCTGCGAGATAAGAATCAGTGCTGAGCCAAGCATCACTATTTAAGACCGGGTGATGTATGACCGACTCTGCAACGATTAAATAATTTTACTGTAGTACATATCCAATTTTACGAAATATAAGTAATGTATAGACTATTTAAAGATCATAGGTCTGAAAGTTACAATTACCTACAAATACTTATTTTACATTTAATCGGCACTTATCAGAGTTAAAAGAAAAACTATCACAACTAAGTTAGTCTAATGAATAATAGTCGATCAACTCAGAAAATGTAGCTTGCAAAGGTACAGAGCAAACGTTCAAAGCAAACACTTTAAAAATGACAAACAACATATCAACATCTGAGCCTAATCTTTGCAAAAAATAATTTGTTCATCAATAAAAAATGTTTACCCTACTTGATCCATCAGAACAGCAAACCAGAAAGTTCCTGGCATTCGTTTTACGCATAACAGGTCGTATCAAAGGGCAACGACACCAGCCAAATCTTTATTCCATTCTAGAAAAATCCATAACTGTAACAAGCTGTGCCAAGTATCGCTGAAGCATTGGTATGCCTTTATGTATAAGTACTTCTGTTTGTTCGGCGATTGAGACTATAGCGTAACTCGTTAAATTATTGCTGATGGAGCTCCGTCGAAGATACAAAAATTATTTGTTTTTTTTTTATTAAAAAGAGGAATAATTATTTGGTAAAAGCTCTTAAACAAAATTAAAAGAAAAGTTGTTGATAAATAAATACTAGACATTGATACTCAATCATTGACAGTTATGACTTATAACTAACCTAATTTTCAATTTTCAATCATTGATGAGAGATAGATGACTACTGATTAGATCAGTTGATGAGACGTACTAAAAGTCATCTCGACTCACGTACTCTACTTTGTCCTTGCCTAAATATATATGTATCTTATCATACATACATCATTTTTTTGTTTGCTCTCATGTTCATGTTCGTATCTGTTTATGCTTGTATTTGTATGAGAATGTGTGCCTGTATGTGATCATATATATGACCTATATGTGATCGCATATCGTATCACGTATCACATGACCTGGCACTTAGACCAGTATCGTATTGTTACCCATCTATGGAGGTTTGTTGTTAGCAACATGAACACACATTTGTATTAACTATAAATTTATTAGTCTGTAAGCCTTCTTCAAAAGTAAATAATAATAATAAAAAAATACATTACAGTGGCCTCTATATCCAGGGATATAGACGAGGAGATAGAATACCAGGGTATTATACAGAGAAAAAAGTGCGTCTGTTGCCCAGAGGGTTAAAAAAAAACTTTTAGGCGAGCGAAACCGCTAGCAAAAGCCAGTAGATTTATAAATTCTTAGTATCTATGTGTGACGTCTTAGTAAAACTCATAACATTATTAATACTAGCTTAATTTCATTGTGCAACTATGCTTGACGAAAGAATACAATAGTGGGTACAGTCGTCAAGGTCGAATGTGCTCGTAAGCCGTCAATTTTTAAAGATATGACTGGAGGCTAACAATTATTATCGCGCGGAAAATATTGTCTTGTTCTTTATTTTATAAAGAAAGTTTAGTTCTTACCAGTAGTCCAGTAGAACTACAAATCCTGAATGTACATAGTGTTGTTTTATTTTATTGTTCTGTACTTTTTTGTTGCAGTTTACACATAATTTATAACTCACTGACACTGTTATCGTGAATGTAAATTGTGTCAATAATTTATCTATCCCTTATTTATCCAATGTGCTTTTTCATGGATCTCTCAAAATTTATCATCCAACCAATAAAAAAAGCATCATTAAAAATGTAATATATCGCAAATAGACTAGATAGTTGATGATCAATTGAGAAGGTCAGAATGCACATCAGACAAAAACCCAATGACGTCGAGGTCGATGCCTTGATTGATAACCGTAGCATTGACATCTTATTATAACAGCTCAATTTTTATATATTACAGGGACATATTTTCAGCGATATCCGATGGCGAAACATGCAAGCTACTTCAAAACTTATTGGTGCAGTCTATAAAGGCGAAATTTCCACAAGTGGAATCAATAGTTGGGTTGGAGTCGCGAGGTTTTCTATTCTCGTTTTCACTAGCGAATGAACTTGGACTTGGGTGTCTTCCTGTTAGGAAGAAAGGGAAGCTGCCTGGGGAGGTCGTGTCATATAAATATGACTTAGAATATGGTTCGGTAAGTAAACTTAGATATCTTTAATCTAATTATATGTTACTTTAGCAGCCTTTAATAGTCCACTGCTGGACATAGGCCTCTCCTTAGAAAGGAGGTTTTGGCCTACTTTACCACGCTGGCCAGACGGGTTGGTATAGGGTTTGTTTCAAGTTTTCCTTCTCTCTGCAGTGCTGTTGTTCTGCATAGTTTGCTTCCTTAGTCGGCTCTTACGACACCCACGGGAGGAATAGGGGTGGTGACACTGTATTCTTAATCCGTCACCACACGGACGATTATATGTTACATATAGTTGTATTGTAAACCTCTTATACTGGTTTAAGAATACTAATAATACAAAATTCCATTCAAAATAAGGCTAATATAAGAAGGAACTGTAATATTATGTACGCTATTATATATACGTATTTTATACGTTTGTATGCTTGTTTCTTACGGTGACACGACTTAACTACTGCACCTTTAATCATGAAATTTTGCATGCACTTAGTCGTAGTAAGCGGTTGAAGGATACAATTAATTATTTTATGGTATTACTAACACATGGTTTAGCTCTTCTTACAAATGTATCTGAAACACCTTAAATTTATCTGTAGTCAATATAAAAATTCTCGTAGTCAAGATAGATGTGCCGAAATCAAGTAAATAGACGATTAGAGAGGGCAGATCATAAATAGGCAGGTCCTCGCCTACAATGTAGTAGGTCATTTTGCATTCTTGTCAAGTTGTTTCAAGACTGAAATACCTAAGTTAAAGGGGGCTCACTAAGAAGAGAATACGAGCTCATGAAATGCGGCACACTTGCGTGCCTATCGTAATCGGTATATCGGCGTATCGGTACCATTATCTGTAGAACCTCCTGACCTGGCAACTCAACAAACCTTTTTAGAAATAACGCGCACATTAGAGTGTGCCTGCGTGCCTGTGTTAAAGTTATCCGCCTTTCCAATCATTCCCATTTCAAAATATAACTTAAAATTCTAATTATCAAAATCAGTAGATACTCGTTGACTTAATAAACAACATTATAATAACTAAGAATAACAATTTATTTCCAGGATGTCCTCGAAATTCAAAAAGCTTCAGTCCGTCCAGGTCTGAAGTGTTTAATAGTAGACGATCTGATAGCCACAGGCGGCTCCATCACAGCCGCCAGCAATCTCCTCAAGTCTTGCGGCGCTGACGTCATTGGTTGTCTCGTCATCATAGAGCTGACGTCACTAAAAGGGAGGGATAACATTCCAAAGGGTCTACCCGTACATTCCTTAGTGCAATATGATTAGGATTTTAACGGATTTCACTAACTTAGTCATGCTAAGTACGTTTACAAAGACACGACAAAAAGGTTTAAATGTAAAATGATAATTATTTAATTTTCCTTGATTATTAAAGCAAATTGTAATAATATACCATACTCACAAGATATTGGCTGTATAAAATTTAAATATTACTTTTGATTTTATCAGCATAATATTTTTAGAATAGTTTTTAAATATTTAGATTAATGACTGACTGCGCACCCAGTGAACACGTATTCTAACGAAATAACGAATAATGTATGGACCCAACCATACATCTGAGTTACCGTATTTTTTTTTTTAAATAGTTAGGAAATACTTTGATTAAAAAAATACCCTTGACTTCACGAACTGAAACTGCATGTTAATCCTCATCTACAGATGCAGGTCTTTTTAGAATAGCATGATAGCACTAGTACCACAAAAATGGTGGTATTATGCTACAGTACAGCTGTAATCAAACACGTGATAATGCTGAATACATTCCATTTAAGATAAGCAATAATCCAGTGAAGATAAAGGGTTCCAAATAAAAAATAGGGTTGCCAGTTAATCGAGATTTCTGATCTGACAACCCTAATCGCGTATCTATAAGTGTTTACCTTGTGGTATTACAATAAAATGTAATCATCATCATAATCAACGGCAAAGGTAGCTAGTTTTACTGATTATACGCAATTGTGTGTATAACATATACGTATATAATACGAGTAGATGTATGTTTGTATATTTCATGTATATTGTTAAGATTTCTTTACTCTAAAAAGCCCTACAGTTAGAGACTATATTTTTTAATAATGCAGCAATGTGAATTACACATTTATAGTATTGCTGTTAATATCATCAGCTAATCCAAATGCTTGTATTAGGAGTGGGTTAATGTTTGTAATGACTGGAGTTAGGACCCGTATCCATTCGACTACAAAGTCCGACGCCGTAGTCATTGCGCTGCGGCCGTTTTAATGCCAGTTCAGTCGGAGCCTATTGAATCCAGTTAGATCGCAATTGTTTTTTATTGCCTTTTTTGTAAAAAACCTCAATATTTCTTTCTTTTAATTGTGGGATTATGTTTCATTGTGTACTTTTAAACTTCCTTTCTAAGGAGAGGACTATATCCAGCAGTGGTTTATTAAAGGAAGTTGATGAAAATGATAGTACTTTATGTTAGAATTAATTCTCATATTTTTTATTGTTTGAATGATAAATAATTGAATTATAAAAAATATTTCTGTTATTTATATTTATTGTTTTATTTAACATCAATGTTAAACAAGATAACCAAGACTAAACGTAAAGGAACATAAGATCAGTTATATGTAGAAGGTTAAGAACATTAGAGTGTAAATGATGTTATCCTATAAACATAACTACATACAAGGTTTGTGTTTGACTTCCTCAACTTAAACGTTTTAGATTATACTAGCTGACCCGCGCAACTTCGTCTGCGTCTCTCAATAGTAATAAATTTTCTCCGTTTTTGAAACATTCTTCATTGGTGCTCCGCTCCTATTGGTCTTAGCGTGATGATATATAGCCTATAGCCTTCCTCGATAAATGGGCTATTTAACACTGAAAGAATTTTTCAAATCGGACCAGTAGTTCCTGAGATTAGCGCGTTCAAACAAACAAACAAACAAACTCTTCAGCTTTATAATATTAGTTTAGATTCACTGTGTTACTGTGTGTGTATGTATTGTGTATATATGTATATCAAATATTATATGTAGGTATATAATGCTTGTTCACAAGCTCGACAGGTAACTGTAGCCGTAGTTAAAAGAAAACCTTGTTTAGTCAGTAGCTTTTCTCAACTTAATTATTCTTTGCACCAAACACTATTTTATCTTTGAATCATTTATGCTCAAGCGTAGTAAACTTACTTATATTTTTGTAGGAGTTTTCAATTCAATTCAATTCTTTTATTTGCTTAAATGTTGTAAGTAAAGGTGATAAATACACTACAAAACACATCCAACACTTGTGGCATTTAAACTCATAACATGCAAATCACTAATAATTTTCATTATAACAATTAGATTATAATCCAAAGAAAATAAAATACAAATTACCATAGCATCTGCAGGATCTGCTTAGTTTGGAATCAGACTGCAGTGTGTGAAATGTGTGAAGTTATTTTATTATTATTAAATAGTAGGTTCAGCTGTACTGCTGTAAAGTAGTAATTAAATGGCTGAGTCCATCGTTTTCATGTCTTGTACATGTCGCTGGATACCGTTATGTTTTGGGGGTCTAATATATGCGACTCCATTGTCCGTGTTTTGTTAAGTGGTCTCGACCACTGCCTTCTTTGCCTGCTTTTTTAATAGCAAGCACTTATGATTTTAACTTCTGACACCATGTTATGTTGAGGTTTGTTAAATTTATTATGGCCTAACTTGCAGGGTACAAGAACATAACTAGTAATAATAGACATTACACAAGTAGTTTTTTTTTGTATAAAACTGTCAACCTCTTGCATGACAAGAGTCCTTTTTTATCTTTTGGTGGTTTCGTGCTTGTGAAATTTTAAGCTTTCCTTTTTTCTTCTCTTATTTCTTTTTATCAATTACTGTTTGCACAATTCTTCGGCGAAATGCAGAAATTGAGACCTTGTTCGTATGTTGCCGAGCAGATAGTGAGCCTCTTCTCTATGTATTTATGCTTCAAGGTGTTGCTCAGCCGTTGTATCTTTGAGCGCCATATACTGGACACTCAAAGACTATGTGCAGGACGTCTTCGTTCGCTGGGTCGCAGATACATGATAGGCTCTCCCGACATGACACTTGAAAAGATGCAAGTATTGGACCCCTCCCTCCTCCCCCCATGTCCCGTTACTACACAAGTAGTTTACTTATCTGTAGAGTATAATTAATGTATTAATTTAGACCTATTTCTTAGCGTTCCATGGATTCACCGTGTGGGTGCCGGGTTACACTTAGCAATATTTCCTTAGGTCTTAAATCTTGGTTGTCCTGTTTCTTTAATGAATTGTAATGAAGTTTTGATGTTTATCTTAATAATATTTTAGTAAGTATACTGTTTCTTATATAAATAAATTGTAATTAATGAATGGTAAACGCAAACATTCCTCATTGCATTTTTATGTAATTAATAAATCATGTGTAAATTTGTATATATAGTTGTTTTATTTACTTTATTTTATTTTTAGCGCTATTTGTGTACTACTTAGTAAAGCAGCAAAAGTGTCAATCCTATAGACATTTTCATAGTGAACACGCTGCTATTCAGTAGTTATTGAAAGAATTTGTATTTCCAAAAGACTCCCAAAAAACATGGCAATGAATTATACATTTAAGGTTTTTTTACAAATAAGTATTTAAGTTGTGAGCTCATTTCTTTGTTCTTGTGTATCAGTTTTAGCATGTTTTTCTTAAAAAAAATCTCACAAATTATGATTTAAAAAGAAATAACGGTCACTGACCTAAATACTGCTGGTTTTTAGGTCGGTATACAATGCAAGTATCACTAGCACTGTGCTGAGTTGTTTCTAATAACAATATGTATATATTTACGTGTAAAAGTGAGCGTGTTGTAAAACCAATCTAGAATACACAATAAATGGTAAGAATAAAATCGAAAAGTCTTCTACCGCCTTAATCGGACTTTTTCCCGTCCCCATAAACTGTTAGCCCATGATTTTCATTTGAGCGATAGGATATCCGCTGCTGGCTATTCCTCAATGACTTCCAATATGACCGATTTGAAGCGGTCTTTAAACTGCTGGCCTCCGACGGCAGTAAATACTGTCGGTCCGCAATCTTTATGAAGTCATTTGTTCATGTCCTACTGAACAAAGGGTATACAATCACTTAAAATAATAAAAAATCTTATGTATGTATTAATGTAAGTTTTTATTTAGTTAAGTATTACAAAAATACCAACTTATACAAGACATCACAATATTCTTAGGCAATTTAAGTTACATCTATTACAAAAAATCTAAATTAATATAAATTAATATCACATTTCTTTGAAAAATTAATGTTTTATGTAAGGCAAAGGCACATTGACCTGTTTCTTAGCCTGTTGAGAGTCGTCGGTTTCTTGGACCTTAATAGATTTTTCGGTTTGTTGGCTCTCAACATTTTTTTCTGTAGACGACTGTACTTTTTTGTTACCATCGACACCAACAACACTGACATTATCGCCATTTATGTCCAACATTTGAGAGTCGTCAAAATGTTGAGCTGGTACCGCAACAGGCTTCATTGGTTCGCCTGTTGGTTTCTTTGACAATACACTGGGCTTGTTTGTTGCTTGCCAGTCATTGTCTATCGTCATAGGATTGACACCCTTACTTTGCCCCTCCTGAGCTACTTCCGATTGGTTTTCATTTATAGCTGACTGCAGATCCTTACTTGGCGTGGGTTTCACGGTCTTTTGTTCAGGTTCTTGTCCTTGTATATCACGATTTGGACGCACTTGTTGGTTATCTTCCTGTCCTATCACAACAGGGTGTTGCACTTTATCTTGACCATTTGGCATTTGTGTTGTAGAAGTTACTGAAGATCCTGTAATGACGTCATCAGATACTTTTTCCGGAACCTGGTTGTCATTTACTTGAGTATCTCGAAGAAGTGGATTTTGGACAGTTTGTTGGTCTCTATCAACGGGGCTTTGAATATCATTTTCCTGTTTAGCGTAGACACGAATTTCAAAGTCAAATCCTCTGAAAACTGCCGGGCTCTTCAGCTCGATGGTAACATTCTTCTGGTTTTCTCCACCTTCTATGATAGCTGCTTCTCCATTCTTGTCTTCTCTTTGATCTACAATAACTACTTGGGTGATGACCTCAGACTCCGATACATTAAAGGTAACCGTTTTCGCCTGCTGCCAAATTGTAGGACTTGCAGTAAAATTTTGTTCATACTTTAGCCTGCCTCCCTCACGGCCAATTGTGAGGTCTTTAGCCGAAACCGTGGCCACTAAACCAACAATAGCAAGCAGGACGTACATCTTCGGTTATTCACGAGTAACTGATGAATACTAACTGCTACCTGGCTTATATACTGACATGACGAGGTAAGGAAAATTTTGAACTGAATCACCGCGTCGGAGATTTTTTTTATAAACAATATACATATTTTAATCTTCCTACGGGGAAAATACTTAATATGTACAGTCAATGACAAATAAACGAGACGTGACCGCAGAATTACGTATTAATAAATGACTCAGGAAACTCTGGCTTCGTAGTATTAACGCTCCTTTGTCTCATGTTGTCAAAACACATAAGTACACAAACAAATACATTTCTAATGAATTAATGTATGTAATAAATTTGATTAATTGGTGAAGAGGCACGTACAATTGTATTATGGCGAGGCAATATAATGTGTTTTTCCTCATTGCTGCATTTTGAAAATGAGGTCGGTAAAGTTACACCAAATACAGAAAAAAAACAAATATGTTATTGCCTTTTTTATAGTCAGCAGACGGGTCAACTACAGGTTAGGGATTACCGCCGCCCATGGATATCTGCTACTTAGAGAGTCACAAATTCGTCGCCCTTTGAGTGCCTTCCAGAATTGAGATGGGGGGTATTGTTGGACCTCCGATAGCGAAAGCATGGCTAATTGTCCTGTTATAGTCACGTGTCCAATCACAGCTTCGACGAATGGATACGTGACCTCGGCGTCTTCCGAGCATCACAATCTCATTCCCATCTCCCATCAAGATTATGGTTAGTCGTTAACCTTTTTTTTTGTGCGGAAATTCCCTCCGATACCAACTGCCGACCAACCACCAACTGGAAACGACTAAAAACCGTACGCGGTTTCCTGCAGGGTACCTGTAGCCTGGACCAGGTGTACCCTAGGAAGAAAATCCCTGGTACCTCTTGTATCCCTTACCCTAGCTTCCTCGCTCTAACTGTTTTCCCCATATTCCCTGCTCAAATATTACTTTATACATACTCTTTCACGAATGCAAATACATTTTTTAATTCGCTAATGTTTCAATTGGACGGGTATTCAATTACGGGGATTACCGAGAGGAAGTTAAAATTATTATCTAGTTCTTAATAAGTTGTCTACAGGACTACATCATAATTTAAGGTTAAATTAATTGTTCTAGGTATGGCCAGATTAAGGATCATACGTAAACTAAGCTTAAGGAAAACACAACTTGAGTAACACTAGTAAATTCCCTACTCCTAAATGATCATGACAATCAAAAGTTCACAGTTTCTGATTGTTATGACGTTATGTTACATAGCCTGCCAGTTTTTTAAACTATAATTTATTAGATAGCGTTATTTACTGACTAAGCTAGTCAATGAATAACGCTATCTAATAAATTATAGTTGAAAAAAAAACTAAAAAACAGCGCTTTTGTAGCTAGCCGAACTAAAAAGTAAACAATGATTTTCGGTAATTTGAAAAAGAAAAATCATTTTATCGTAAACAGCGTTGGTAGCTTATCTCAATTGTTGTAAAAATGTTTTATTGACAGGTATTGGTAAAAGTAAAGTTATCATAAAATAAAATACCTTGAAAAGCACACCACGCTTTTTTACGATAAAATTATTTTTCTTTTTGAAAATTATTTCTTACTGTTTAGTTCAGTTAGCTATAAAAGCGTGTTTCTTTAGTTTATTAAACGTTTTTTTCTTTTTTTAGTCATTAATAATAATAATTATTTTAATTAGACTATAAACGTAACGTAAGTAAGTAAGTAAAGTAAGTTTATTACATATGCTTTAGCACACACCTTAGTACGCGACAAAAGACACTACTATATTTTTAGATATGGAAAAAGCCGTTAATCCTTAATCAGGATAATAGGACAAATTATTTAAATTATTGCATTGTCGTCGGACCTTGATAAGTGTGCAAAGTTTCAATTTAATTCGTTTTGAAACGGGTCAAAATCACGTTCGAAGACTCCGTTACATACATACCAAGATAATGAAAGCACGTTAAAAATAATGATTAAAATCTGAATGATAGGTAGTAGGTGTAACACAAAGAATCAAATAAAAAGTTCTTGTTATTCAGATGTTTTGTACAGATTTTACACTTTTGGATAAGTACGCTTCTCAGAATTATCTATTTTACATCTCAACCATCTGAAGATTAGATGGCTGAGATGGAATATACATCTAAATACTTTGGTATCTGATGTGCAAAGGTCTCTTTATCAGTTCAGCAAAGATAATTAGGTTTATAATAAAATCGTAATCTGAAAACGTTTCTGCATAACCATTTTTTAAAGAATTTAAAGCATTATACAAACGCGTGGATTTTGGTTTGCCGCAATATTAAGTTTAAAGAGTTTAACAAGGCGACGATGACGATGGAACAGAGCGCGGAAGGTAACGACCGATTCAATGTAAACGTTAAGTAAGTAATGTATGTTTTGCTCAACAGACCTAATATCATTGTATGTAGTCCTCCAAAATCTTTTAATTCTTATGGTTGGTACTGAGAAATGGGTATATAAGGATATTTGTATTCAGATCTTAATGGTATCTACTGCGAGGTACCTACCCTTTATTTACGGCGTGAACTGTACTTCTTTGTAGAGGATCTAACGTGATATACATGTTCCAAACATATATTAGATGCGTACAGAATACAAATTACGCTATCTACGTAGACTTCAAGCGTGGTATTTCCGAGAAACATTAGTAGTTTTGTCGTAGAGGAATATGGATGTGTCTGGACTTAAACATGAACATTATAGTAACTATCTGTTATGGAATTACTTAACTCATTGTTTGAAGTCAAGGGTAGACGCTTTATTTAATAAGTTTTAACTTGATTTATTTTACACTTGGCTTTTGCCCGCGGATGTCGGCTATCGCGGTAAAAAGTAGCCTATGTTACTCGCTGATAATGTAGATTTCTATTGGTCAAAATCGGTTTAGTGGTTTAGGCCTGAAAGCGCAAACAAACAAACTCCCTTTCACATTTAGTTATAATATAAGTATGGATAAAACAATATGAATAATTATAACAGTTAACTTAAGTAGGAGTATGTAGGTGTATACTAATACAAATAATTTGAATCTGGTGGTTAAATCTTTATAGATATAGATTCTTCTTTGTGCGTGTGTATGTGACTGAACTCCTCCTAAACGGCTGGACCGATTTTGATGATTTTTTGTGTGTGTTCAAGTGGATTCGAGAATGGTTTAGATTTAAAATAAATATTTAATTTTTCGGATTTAAGACGTGTGACGACGTCTGTCGGGTCCGCTACTTTTTTATTATAAAAATGCAATTTATGGTAACTCGACCTTCAAATGCAAAAAGGACGTGGGGATGCGGCTCTATAATGTGACTTTTATTTGACCAATGCAAACACCTTTACCTTACCTTTTATTATATAAGGGACAGACTGCCACCTGATGGGAAATGACTACCGTCAGACACCTGTACGTAAAGAGGCATAAATCAGTTGCCGGCCTATAAAGGTGACCTCCGACCCTGCTTGAATTAGGAGTGAGGCATTTCACCGAGTAAAGGAACGTTGGTTAACACCGGTGAGCCGTGGCATCACTTCAAGATGCCCTGAACGTACCGAACACAGAATGTTCTGGCTCTCTGAAATGGCAGTCCCACGGTGCGTGACTCTTCAGCGATCGCGTCATAATTAATCAAACCTATTAGTAATTAAATGAATCCAATGTGTAAAAACCGTGTGGATTACCGGCTGGTACTCTTGGAGTTTATCATGTTTAGTCAGATACATACAGAAAATCAGGCAGACATTTACTTTATTTCATCTATACTAACATTATAAAGAGGTAAAGTTTGTGAGTTTGTATGTTCGAGGTAACTCCGGTAGTACTGATCACATTTTAATAATTATTTCACTATTAGAAAGGTATGTTAACCCCGAGTGCTATAGACTACTTAAACAGCGATAACCGACATACACGCGGGCGGAGCCTCGGGCAAAAGCTAGTACTTAATATCACAGCGATTAATTACACATACTTTTTTGAATATATTTATATATATATAAGAACGTATCGAACGAGCAAATGGTTCAGCTAATGGAAGGTGACTACCTTGCTGAACCTGTCGCCCATGAACGTCTGATAATTATAATAATAACTTAAATATTTCTAAATTCATTTACATCTTGTGATGGTACCTCAAATACCCTAGCCTGAGTAAAGCAGTTTTTCAACTATTAAACACGTAGCCAGCTCCCCTCCCTGTGGGGGAGGTCTAACGCTCCTCCAACCGCGCCAGGCTGTAAGACTCGACCCTGACTGGACATCTTCCCACTGGCTTTTAACATTCGAATGAACAACAAAAGACCGCGATAAGAGGGAATGAAAGTCTAAATGAAATAATTAAATACATTGGTATTGGTTGTGCTTATCCTATCAGACTTCCATCCATTGTGCACTTAAGCTTAAAGTGAGTCAATCAACTTCTACAACTGAATGCTCAAGGCCGCAAGGTCAGACACGTGAATACTGCTCGTCTGATGTGGCATTAACCCTTATGCTACCGGACACAACGCGTGCGCCGACGGCGGACTCGGACCGCTCGATCTCCATCAATTCATCAACAGCATCAGTACTTTCCCGCAAACCGACCACCCAGGACAAGCCCATTAAGACGCTCTCCACTCAAGTACACGGCACTCACTGAACCTACACTAACCTCCTCCTAAATACACCACAATGACAGGTCACCGAAGGATAACCGTGTAGCAAGGACCGCGGCCTGGTTGATCTGATCAACCAAGGTGGTCATATCGCCTCAGTTATAACTCGATTCACCACACTGTAGAGCACTATAAAGGGGTCACTAATCATTCTATCACATTCAAGATATCTTAACCAATACCAAATGCGTAAGTAAAATTTAGCAGGGAAACTGCATGGAAACTACATCTAAATTATTAATTAATACTACGTTACTCAGACCGGAATATAAATACGTATAATAATAATCCTAAAACATAATAACCAATAAAGACTCACCTAACTG